TTTTTAGTGTGAAAAATTCTGTTGTTGTGGCTCAGAATTTTTTTCCGGAATTTTCCTGTAAATCCTTGGTTTCTTTTCTGAGATTGTTTTTCTTGTACTTCTATTGGAGTTTCTTGTTTTGGGTTTCTTGAATTGATGTAATTCTATTCCATATTTTGGTTTTGAATTCTAATAGATCAAAGCTCTATGTATATATTTCCATCCCAACATAGATTTTTGTATATAATTAGAAAGAGGACTATGTTCATGCATAAACATCACAAAACATGACTCTTGCTTCATCTTATTCAAAAAACGAGTTTTTCGTTTGCAGAAATCTCACACGAAAGAAAGAAAAAAATGCTCAACCTTCTGTGCAAAAAAGAAAAAAATGAATGAATTATATTCCTACTTAATTTCTAATTCACGGTTAAACCCAACCTTTCGAGTCCATTAAGTTGATGAATTTTACCTCCATTTAACCACAGAAGAAGCGGTTTACTGGATGAATCAGTTGGTGACTCCACGAAATAGTAAAAAAGCGCCCTTCCATTCTCTGAATCCACAGTAATGTAACCTGCATACTGATTGAAATCAACACCTTCAGGTTGGCCTGGAAGCTTGGAGATTTTATCTCCTTCCATTGACCCATCCTGTGCGTTGAGATTGGCCCTTTTGGTGGACTTAGTGGTCTCAAATTCCGAGACTAAATCAGATTGTTGGGAAGAAAATGATGACCTCTTTGCTTCTATCAGCTTTCCTAGCGTCTCTTCTTGGCTAGCTTCGTGCAGGCGTGGTAATGAGAAGCAGGAACATAATAGTATTGTCAGCCAAAATAAGTTGGTCATCTTCATCGTCTTCTTTGTTATTGATGAAGACGAGTTGTTATGGAAATCTGAAATACACTGGATTATATAGGGAAGGGATCGCTTGGAGTTTATTTGGTGGAATGGACCACAGCTACTAATACTTTCACGAACAGTGGCCAAATGGACCTGTTGATATGTAGAAAGGTATCCAGCCGGCTTTGATCTCCAAATTTGAATATGCGCATTCTATCTATATATATCTAAAACATAAGCCAAACTCATAAGAAGTAACGAAAAAATGATTAGAGTTATTATGACGACTATTATTAATGTTTATAAAAAA